CCCACGACTATCGCAACCTAGAGGATAACAACGAAGAAAGGAAGTACAGAAACAAAACATACAAAGGTAAGAAAGGTGAGTATAAAACAAAAACCAACTTTGATATTTAGATAGACATTCTTTACAAAGGCGCTTGAAGACGCCAACAAAAAGTTAAACAAAAACAATGGCAGAATATCTAGTGGCCATCACCACCCTGGTCTCCGCCATCATCTCCATCCTCGCCTCGATTGTAGGCAGAGTCACACCAAGCACTATTTTCGAGCTGGTCAAAGTCTCATTCATCATTACCCTCGACATCAAGCTGAGGTATGGAGGGGTTATAGCCACAGGCCAACCGAGCCTCACGAGCTTTAACTCGGCCTCCTTCGTGGCCGTCTCAAAGACAAAGCCCGTCTGACCCAACTCCCGAACCACCTCTACTCGAGCTTATGCAAGGATCCATTCCTTGTACTGCTCTCGAGGAATGGCAGGAAACTCAGAGGCATGAGAAGTAGAGGGCCGTTCAAGCAGTCTAGAATTCTTGCCCTCAACCGCAGAAACTTGTTCAAGCAGCTCGGATCTCTTTCTCTAATTCACCAATCCTCTCCTCGAGCCTGGCCTCCTTAGCCTTGGTCGTCGACTAGACATTGTCCCGGGCAGCACAAAGGGTTCTATTTTGCCAACTCTAAAATAGCGGCCATTTTTCGAGTCTCCATTCAAGTGGACTCCGCCTCCTCGAGCAGCAGTTGCTTATCAGCAACCTCTCCTCGGAGCCCGTCAATTTCAAACTAACATCCACTCAAAACTAACTTTGCAGTTGATCAAGCTGGCTCTGAAGGTCGCGTCACAAGGCTCTATGCCCTTGCTCAACTCGAGCTCTTCCTCCTTTCTCTTTAACGCCCCCTCAAGAGAGCCGAGTCGCTCCACAGACACGAGCAACTCTTCGTCTTTATTTCTCATCTCCTGCCACAGGACATACATATCACCCCCTCTATGAAGCTGCCTCTCAGCATCCTTATACTACCCACAAAACTCCTCGTATTTCGTCCATAACTTACGATAGATCTCCTTTTATTTTTTCTCTCTCTGTACGATCTCGAGCTCTAGGATATTGGTCTGCAAACACAAGCGGGGGAAATAAGTAAAAGTAAGACTTAAGGGCATAACAAAGCAAAGAATAGAGAGCAAGAAAGGAAGGAAAATATATACCCTAAGAACGAGGCTGACGATGCTCTTGGACAGGGTGCTGTCCTTCAGCTCTCCAAGGGTCTTATGCTCGGCAATAGAACAGAAGGAACCGAAGGCATGGATCACATCCTGGTTATCCTTAAGACGATCGTGATTCACTGGGATAGTGATGGTCCTCGATCCCCCTTCTACCCTAAGTTTGACCTGAGTAGTCCACTATCGATCATCTCATGATCATCAGGGTCGAGGTCGTAGTCGGACTCATCGCCGACGATTTCTGCTTGCCTATCATCCTGCTCAACGGGCATCTTGTTCTTTCCCTTATCAGCTGGAGAAGCTTCTTGAGCCGGTTTAGAAGACGAGGCCTCCCCGCGCCCCGCATGTGTAGAACCATCATCAGAGGTATCCACAACGGTCACCTCCTCTTCAGGTCATAAAGGAGCAACAACACCGATCTTTTCTAAACCTAGGCACCTCAGAGGCCGCCCCAATGCCCTCTGATGTGTGGCTATAATTCATGGTTTCGCATATTATATGCCTTGCATTTTATATGCTTTAATGTTAAATTACACTTTGTTTAAGCATAATGGAGTCGATTTTATGTGTAGGTGCATTGGAAATGAAAGTAGAGCTAAAGGGATGCTTAAATGTCGAAAGTGCACTCGAGAACGGTGAAAAGGAGAAGCCAGCCCAAAGCCAGCTCGACCAAGATTTAGCTTGGCGAGGCCAGCTTAAAGCCAGGCCCAACCAGGCGTTAGCCTGGTGACGCCAGCTTAAAGCCAGCGCCTGGTGACACCAGCTTAAAGCCAGGCTAAGGCTGGTGTTAGCCTGGCGATGCCTGGCCTAAGGTCAGGTCCAGTCCGAGTTTTGAAGGTTTTAATTATTTCCCGGCTTGACTAGGAGTTGACCTACATGTTTAGGGCTTATCCCAAACATATAAATAGACCCTTAAACGCCACTTTGAAGGACTTTTGCAACCGGAGGCAAGAATAGCTCGCGGAACACTACTTGGGGAGTTGGAATCATTGATTTCTACATCTCTTTATCCTCACTCTGTAGTTTAATTATGCAAATTACTTTGGATATTGTTACTATGAGTATGAGTAGCTAAACTCATAATTTAGGGTTTTGATGGAACCTGTTGAAGGATAATTTTCTCGTTTCGTTAATATAGATTTGCCATAGTATTCTCTCTATTTGTTCAACTCTATGCTTATTGATGTTAATTGAAGGGCCCTCAATTAACTATTTCTATTTAGTGTGCATCACACGGGAGAGAGTGCATATTTAGGTAGTTGTTGAACAACATCACTCCTAACGTATATGAGGGATCAATATGAAGGGTTTAAAGGTGGGATAAGGGATAACGAAACCTTGGGTGCGATCTAAGTGAGTTGTACTTAAAGCTATCTAGCTTAATTGGGGAGAATATGTCTAGTATATAGTTGTAATTACTCGAGAGAGAGTTACGACAGTCAGAGTGCTCATGATCGATAGAGAAGACTTAGGCAAATTTATAGCAAACGTAGCGGAAAGGATTCCGACAATAGGGGAAATCAGAACCTTAGATCATTCCCATTCTTGTCTACAAACCGTTAGTAGTTAGTTCTTAATTATTGCATTTCATTTACGTAATATTTAGTTAGTAAGCTCCCAACCTATTATTTCAATATCTCCAAAGATTGAATACGTGAATTTGTGTAAGTCCATTAGCTGTGATTGATAGGTTAATTCCCTGTGGGATTCGGCTCGGGACTTTTTACCGAAATATGTTTGCTGCGACCGCTTTGTCCTTTTTATAAGGCATAGTTGGGCGTGATCAAATTTTGGCGCCGTTGCCGAGGAATTAACGGTGTTATTAATTACAGTTAAAAGATGTGCAAAAATTCTTAGTGTAGTCAACTTTCTTCAATTTAAACTGATTACATTAAAATTCTAACGTTTGTAGTCTTGGGTGTTAGAGGTGCATGCCTAGAAGCTCCTCAAGAACCGGTAAACTGTTTGAAGCATTATTAGATCCTGAGAAAGTTTTCAAGGCATTGAATTGTGCTAACTGGAAAGGAAAACAGCAACAGAACTCAACAGAACACATCGAACCAGACATGGGAGATGAAGTAAACAACAGAAATAATAGGAATGGCCCGAACAATCAAGGTGTGGTGCAGCTTGTGCTAGAAGAAGCATTGTACGATTGGGCACAACCCACCGCTGACAACTTAGCAACTGCAATTGTAGTCCCTCAAATACAAGCAGAATCATTCCAAATCACAAATAACATGCTACATTTGTTGCAGAATAAGGGACTGTTCTCAGGGTCATACGTTGAAGATCCACAATAGCATCTGAAGAATTTCCTTCCAATCTGTGCCACGCAGAGGCAACATAATGTGACAACGGAAGTAATACGATTGTTGTTGTTTCCATTCTCAGTGAGGGAGCGACTCAGACTTGGCTTAATTCACTCCCCGTAAACTCCATCACTACTTTGGAGGAATTAGTCAAGCAATTTGTGAACAAATTTCACCCACCCAACAAGACTGCTCAACAAATTGATAAGATATTAAGCTTCAGATAGAAACCAACGGAGACATTACAAGAAACGTGGTAGAGTTTCAAGGGTCTGCTGGTTACGTGTCCATATCATGGTATTCCGGACCAGATGTTGGGGTAGAGGTTTTACATGGGTTTGGCAGATAACTTGAAGGCCAATGTTGATGCTTCAACAATATCCTACTTGACAAGATGGCGCAAAACTCATGATGGACGACAAGAAATGCTCCAATCACTCATGTGGTTCACTCAGTGGCTTAGACCCAACTAACTCCATAGCTGAAAATATGGCCACTCTAGTGACACAAATGAGCATCCTCACCAAAAAGGTTGATTAATCAGGCCAGAAGCAGTATGTACACATAGTTGATACAACTAATAGGGGTTTATGTACATCATGCATTAATCAGCCATATGTCTGCTCGTGGAGTGCGGAAGGTGATAACAAACAATATCAGGAGAACATGAATAATGTGGCCAACTATGGGGGATAGAGGCAAGGTGGTCAGAATTGGGGTCGGCAGAATAAACAATATAGACCAGTTCAGCAGCAGTACAACAACAACAATAATAATCTTGGGACTATGCGACCACAGGGTCAAGTGGTGCCTTACCAAAGGCAACAGGGTTACAACCAGCAAAATCAGCAGTAGTCTTGTCAACAACCTCAACAACAACAGACTGTGAGATGCGAAGATGGGTTTGCTAAACTTGAGGGAATGATGCAACAAGTGATTGGGTCCACTGGAAAAATCACTGACAAAGTAGACTCACATGAATCAACGATAAAGAATATTGAGATCCAATTGAGATAGATTTCGATGTCTTTAAATAATCGTCCCCACGAGACGTTACCTGCACACACATAAATCAATCCAAAAGAGCAGGGCCCGAAAAAGCTTATGGCAGTGAGTCTACGAAATGGTAGAGACCTAGATCTAGAGCAAGAAATTGCTCGTGAAAGTAGACCTACTGAGACACTGGTGCCAGTACCCGTTGAGATAGATGATTCAGTAGGGTTAACTAAGCTGACGGTACAACATGCGGAAGAGAACACCAACAACGAAAAAGAGGTTGTGAAAGAGACTGAGGTTGCACTAGAACCAATAGTAGAAGCAGTGCCTGAACAAGGAAAAAATCAAATCACAGGGAAGAAGTGACCTCCAGCACCATTCCCATAGAGATTGGCCAAGTATCAGAAAGATGAGCAGCACAAGAAATTCTTTGAGATGTTGAAGCAAATTCAGGTAAACATTCCATTGATTGATGCTTTAAAGGAGATGCCTGGCTATGTAAAAATGATGAAGGACTTGATGTCCCGCAAGTTTGACTTTCATGTCTTGGCCACGGTTACATTGATTCAGACCTGCAGTGCTGTTGTGACGAGACCCATAGCTGAGAAGTTGTCTGACCCAAGAAGTTTCACAATCCCTTGCACAATAGGGAACTATGCATTTGCTAAGGCACTGTGTGATCTGGGGGCAAGCATAAACCTTATGCTCCTAGCTATCTACAAAAGGCTAGGCATTGGGCGAGCTAGACCCACGTCCATGTTATTACAACTGGCTGACCGGACAGTAAAGAGGCCCTCTGGTATTCTTGAAGATGTATAGTAAAGGTTGGGAAGTTTGTGTTCCCAGCAGATTTTGTCATTCTTGACTGTTAGGTAGACGAGGAAATACCCATAATTTTGGGAAGACCATTCTTGGCCACTGGGAGAGCTTTAATTGATTGTGAAACTGGAGAGCTCAAAATGAGATTAAATGATGAAGAGATAACATTCAACGTGCAGAAATCTATGCGGCGACCAAGTGAATTTGCTAATTGCTCTCTAATAGATGCCGTGGATGTAGTTTTGGAGGACCAAGATAAGGCATTGAACACTAAAGACGCTCTAGCAGCCTGTCTCATGAACTTAGATGAAGCCAATGGAGAAGACTTGGCAGAGTGGGTTTTCTCTTGAAGGCTAAGGTTTTTGGAGAAGGGAGCTAAAATTTGAGCCTTTGCACTTAGAGGAAAGAAAAACTCCTCCAGCTAAGCCATCGATAGAAGAGCCACCAAAGTTGGAACTGAAGCCACTAGCATCTCATCTCAGGTATGCTTTCTTAGGACCTAACTCAAATTTACCTGTTATTATCTCATCTAGTTTGTTAGATGTGCAGGCAACAACTTTTGCAGGTATTGACGGAGTGCAAGACTACAATTGGGTGGACCATTGCAAACATTAAGGGTATCAGCCCGGCCTTCTGTATACATAAGATTTTACCGGAAGATGGGCACAAACCTTCCAGAGGACATCAAAGAAGGCTGAACCCCAACATGAAAAAAGTGGTGAAGAAAGAAGTGATTAAGTGGTTAGATGCAAAAATCATCTTCCCCATCTCTGACAGCAACTGGGTTAGCCCAGTTCAGCGTGTGCCAAAAAGGGAGGTATGACGGTAGTGAAAAATGAGAAGAACAAATTGATCTTTACACGAACAGTCACAAGTTGGCGAATCTGTATGGATTACAAGAAGTTGAGTTTGGCTACCAGGAAAGACCATTTCCCACTGCCATTCATTGATCAGATGCTAGATAGATTGGCGGGGAGATGCCACTTTTGCTTTCTAGATGGGTACTCGGGGTATAATCAGATCTCTATTGCCCCGGAGGACAGAGAGAAAACATCGTTCACCTGCCCTTATGGAATCTATGCTTTTCGGAGAATGTTGTTTGGCCTATGAAATGCACCTACCACGTTCCAAAGATGCATGATGGCTATCTTCACGGATATGGTAGAGGAAATAATGGAGGTTTTCATGGACGTCTTCTCAATGGTGGGGAATTCATTCGATGATTGCCTTATAAACTTGAGAAGAGTATCGAAGAGGTGTATCAAGACGAATCTGGTACTCAACTGGGAAAAGTGCCATTTCATGGTACAGGAAGGTATAGTCTTGGGGTACCTAGTGTCAAGTAAAGGCATTGAGGTAGACCGTGCAAAGGTTGATGTGATAGAAAAGCTTCCACCACCCACTTCCGTCAAAGCAATCAGAAGTTTCCTTGGGCACGCCAGTTTTTATAAGAGATTTATAAAAGATTTTTCTAAAATTGCTAACCCCTTGTGTAAATTGCTTGAAAATGATCACCCTTTTGTATTTTTTGATGACTGTAGGGTAGCGTTTGAGGAATTGAAGAAGAGACTGGTAACAACACCTATCATAGTTGCCCCTGACTGGGAGCAACTATTTGAGCTGATGTGTGATGCGAGTAACTATGCTGTGGGAGCAGTTCTGGGGCAGCGTAAAGATAAAATCATGCATCCAATATACTACGCAAGTAGAACGCTAAGTAGAGCCCAACTAAATTACATTGTGACCAAGAAGGATATGCTGGCAGTGGTGTTTGCATTTGACAAATTCAGGTCATACCTGATTGGATCGAAGGTAATTTTTTATACTAACCATACTGCTCTCAGGTACTTAATCGAGAAGAAGGAGTCAAAACCGTGCCTGATTCGATGGGTGCTACTGCTGCAAGAATTTGATTTGGAAATCCGTGACCGAAAGGGAACGGAGAACCAAGTAGTTGATCATTTGTCTAGGCTGGAAGGAACTGAGAAGAAGATTGAGGTAGAAGAGATTTTGGAAACTTTCCTAGATGAACTACTGGCCACGAGCCTTGAGGAAGCGCCATGGTATGCAGATATTGCAAACTACCTGGCGAGCGGTATTGTTCCTTATGACCTTTCCTATGTCCGAAAGAAAAAAGTTCTTTCATAATTGCCGCATGTATTATTGGGATGAACCTTATCTGTTCAAAATTTGTATTGATAACATGATTCGGAGATGTATCCCCGTGATAGACCAGTCTTCTATTTTGCAGGCATGTCACGCGTCACCATATGGTGGGCACTTCGGGGGAGTAACGACAGTTGCTAAAGTCTTGGAGTCGGGTTTCTACTGTCCAACATTGTTCAAAGATGCACATTTATGGATAAAAGGGTGTGATGAATGCCAACAAACCGGGAATATTTCCCGACGACATGAGATGCCTATGAACCCAATTCAGGAGGTAGAAATGTTTGATGTATGGGGCATAGATTTCATGGGACCTTTCGTCAGCTCATATGGCAACAAATACATACTCGTCGCTGTGGACTACGTGTCCAAATGGGTGGAAGCTGCAGCACTCCCTACAGATGATGCAAAGGGGATAATTGTTTTTTTGAGAAAGAATATATTCACCCGATTTGGCACTCCAAGGGCAATAATCAGTGATGGAGGCACTCACTTTTGTAATCGAACCTTCGCAAAGTTGTTAGAGAAGTATGATGTACGCCACAAGGTGGCCACCCCATATCATCCACAAACAAGTGGGCAAGTGGAAGTCTCGAACAGAGAAATAAAGAGTGTGTTGACTAAGACTATGAATGCTACTAGAACAGATTGGGCGAGAAAGTTAGATGATGCACTTTGGGCTTATCGAATCGTTTTCAAAACTCCAATCAGCATGTCTCCATACAAGTTGGTGTTTGGGAAGGCGTGTCATTTACCGGTAGAGTTGGAGCATAGAGCTTGGTGGGCGTTGAGACAGTTGAATCTCGATATTGAAGCTGCGGGAACAAGTAGAGTCACGGAGTTGCACGAGCTTGATGAGTTCCGCTATCACGCTTTTGAGAGCACAAGATTATACAAGGAGAGAATGAAGATGATACATGATAAAAATATTATTGAGCGGAGTTTTACCCGGAGATACGTATTGCTATACAACTCAAGACTGAGGCTATTTCCGGGCAAATTAAAGTCACGATGGTCAGGGCCATTTCGTGTGGTTGAAATTCACCCCACAGGTGCCATAGAGATTCTGCAGATAATGACTCTCGCAAGTTCAGAGTCAATGGACACAGATTAAAACATAATGTGGGCATGGATGAAGCAAAGGTAGTGTCAGTGACCTATTTGATCGAGCCTCCAATGTTGAGCGTACATTAAATGCGCTTATCTACATCGTGCCGCGATGTTAAATCAGGCGCTGCATAGGAGGCAACCCATTGGACTATTGTATTCGTCATGCCACGACATTAACTAAGGCGCTTCTTGGGAGGCAACTCAATTCATAGTTGATTTTTAGTGTAGTTAGAATTTTTCTTTTTGTTTTTAGATACTAACAAGTTTGCAGGTGAGTTTGGGCGAGTCGACGGTTTAAATGTCACGCGAAGTTAGGAAAACGCCAGGGTCAGCCAGGCCTTAGGCTGGCGTCGCCTGGCTAAAGCCAGGGTCAGCTAGGCCTTAGGCTGGCGTTGCCTGGATAAAGCCTGTGAGCATGTGATTTTTGCATCGCACGAATTACTCCTACAGATTTCTTAGATTTAGGATTTTTCTTTTAATTGTTCAATTTGTAGGAATTAATTGCATAATTTTCGTGTTTATTTGCATTTTACTGTGTGCATTTTTAATTTAACATAAATTCATAAAAAATACAAAAATACGCATTGCATTTGCATTTAGGATTTAATTTTATATATTTTAGATTAATTAGTAATTAGGGTTTTACAAAAATACAAAAATCACAAAAATTGATTTATTTGCTTTGTTTAATTTTAGCTTTGAATTTTGTTCAGTTTTCCTTTAAATTGGTATTTTATTAATAGTTTTGATTATTAATTATAGCTTAATATAGCTAGGTAGGTTAATTTAATTCTTTAGGTTTAATTTTAGTTTTGTTTTAATTCGAAAAAGAAAAAAAGAAAAGAAAATAAAAAGAAAAAGGGGTCTTCTTAGTAAAAGACCCGAGTTTGGGCCAGCCCAAATCAAAACCCTCCAAATACCCGTTAAATTCGCCCCATACCCGGCCCAAAATTCGGTCCAGCTCCCCCTTACCACAAAAAAGACGCCGTTTCATTTAGAATTAATCCCAGCCGTCGAGGTTTGATGATCTAACGGCTGGGAAGCTAGGGTCCAATAATATAAGAATGTCCAAACGCACCCCTACCCCC